GCCCTGCCATTAATAACGTTCGCCCAAGAGGAACCGAGAGAGGAGGAAAGAGGTGGCGGAGGAGAGGGTTTTTCGAACGAGGATTTCCGCGCGTGTGTGCGTCGATTTCGTCCCCAACCACGTCTCGTACGCGCGTATTACATATATACACGTGGTGGAGGTAGTACTACGCGTTGGATGCGTCCGACAGGGCGGGACGCACGAGCATAAACAATTGCGCATCGGCCTCGCCCCTTCCCGATACGGCGTAACGAAACGAGAGAGGTCCCTGCTCGCCGCCCACCTCAACCTCCCTTCGTTTCGAGAAGGCGAGGAGAGGAGCGCCTCGGGGAGAGGAGGGCAGCGATAATCGAAACGAACCCCCCCTTCTTTTCGTGGGTCGTCGAGCAACATGCGCGGCAGATTTTTGGGAAAGCCGATAAACAATTATCGAGACGTCGAGAACCGTATTCTCTTTCTCGCCACTCGAAACGGATAACTGACGATTAATTAAAACGGAGGGAGGGAAGGGACAGATCGACGGGAAAAAAGATTGGGTGGAGAGGTGGTCGCGAACGCGTAAGCGGCACGAGTTTTCGAGTTTCGCGGCTTATTTGGGAGATCGGTCGGGTCGGTCACCTAAAATAGAGGTACCGATTTTAATTGGAATAAGTTGGACCGGGTGCAAAAAAGCGCGCCGCGTTCCTCGGTTCTTGCCCCTCCTCCGATTAAACCGAATCGCGGCCCCGTCGCTCGCCAATTTATTAGGCCGCGTTACCGCGTTAGAGTGGCCGTGGACGGCTCGAATTAAATTCGTATTTGGCCGCGCACCGGCCAAATTAGACCGGACGGAGATAAATCCGCGGCTCGGATCTCTCGGCTCGAAAGCGAGAGCGGAGGGAGGAGAAGCGGGGAGGGTGGTGGTGGCGGCGGCGTTAAATTGAGACATTCGGCGATGGCCGCGGTGCGGAAAGAAGATGGTATCGATGATTAATGCGCGTGGAGGCCGGGGGATCGGTAAAAAGCGCGCAATTACATCGCGCAACGCTTAATGACTCGATAAGTGGTATCGCGGAACTGTGCGCAACGTGGGATTATACATGCAGGCCGCTCGTCCGCCCCGCCGCCTCGTAATAACTGCAATTTCATCCGGTCTCGATCTTCGTTGTTCCATCGTTTCGAGGGTGAGCGAGTCGCGTCGGGGGAAAAAGAAAAAAATCCTACCTCACTCGAGGCGCTAGCCACGTCGACTAAACGCGGGGAGGGATCGGGGCAAAAAGAACGGGGAGAGACCGCGCGGAGAAACACGACTGCGAGAGGAGGTTGCGCGCGCGCGCGAGAGAAAGATAGAGAGAGAGAGAGATTGGACCCTCGCTCGAGAAGAAGACTTTCCTCGAGCCCTGGATTAATACCGCGGTGGTGAAAAGCGAAGAACACGCGGAGAGGAGAGAAAGAGAGAGAGAGAGAGAGAGGAAGAGAGGGAGGGAGAAGGAGCGGTGATCGTTCCTCTCCGGCAGGCTGGACAATAGGAGCGCCGCGAAGTGTAGCGGACAAACAAATAGCCAATTAAAATTCCGGTTGCACGGCGAACATACTTGTATCAGCTGCGGTACTACCAAGCATTGTGCACCGGAGGCATGCGGTGTCTGGATCGGTTGACTGGGACCCGGGTACCAGAAGATCGGTTGCTTACGACCAACCTTCAAGGACTATCTCTCGGACGCGACCCGTTTGAGAGAGAGAGAGAGAGAGAGGAGGAGACATCGTTATCGATCGATCGCTGCTTTATCGCCGACGATTCTCCACCTCTTCTCCCGCTGTCCACTGTCCGTCGTTTCCGCGACGATAATTAAAAAAAAATCCTTCTCCCTACTTCCATGCCGATTAATCATAAATTATACCCCCCGACGCTATGCTTATTATTGTCGTCCGTTCGCTAATCTTTTCCTTCTCTCTTTTATCTTTTCTTAAAAAAGTAAAATAAATAATAGCGATTATACTCTCTATACTAAGAAGTTTCGATTTCTTCGTACGATCGTTTCGTTAATCGGTATACGGATGGTGATAAATGGACCAGTGTGATGATAAGGATTTTACGCGATCGTTATTGTTACTTGATAAAATCGCGGGGATGATCAATCAAGGCGGGAAATTAATTATCTAAGAGCGTATCGTACTTGCCACGCTTATACGACTATAAATGCCAGGCTTTAAATTACTTCCTCGCCTTTCTGTCCGTTTCTTCCGTCCGTTTAGCGAATAACGCGCTCGTGCATCGATACGAGTCGACTGTTATAGCGTTGAGAAAAAAAAATTAATTACTCGTACTTCCTTTCGAGCGTGAAATCGGTGCTCGACGTCAAATCTCGGCCTCCGAGTAATCTCGCGACGCGAGAAATTCGGTAAAAATCGATCGGGAATCGAGATGTCGGTCGGAATCGTCGGCGAATTATCGAATCGCGACGCTGGATACGATCACGGGCCCGTAATTGCAGCGCTATTCGTACATTATTGGCTCGTATATTATTTGACGCGATTCAATAAGTCGGAACCGATGTTATCCGTTCGTCGTTAAGCCGTATTCGCAATATCGATCGCCGTTGATGAATGATCGTATTTAAGCCCCCGTCATTTTTCCCAGCGATTATTAACGTTAAAATTGAATGCGTCCGTAGCGCGTTAGTCCGGTAGCGGTTGTTCGCGACCACGTACGAAAAAAACTTCTTTCTTTTATCCTCTTTTATCTCTCTCTTTCTCGCCTTTCTCTTCCTCTTCCTTACCGTGTCCACTCGAAGATCGTCGAACGCGCGTTAAGGTCCCCCCTCCCTCCCCAACCTACTAGCAACGCCACGGCTTCGCGAGCAAACGGAGGAGAAAGAGAGAAAGAGAAAGAGAGAAAGAGAGTAATTTATCGAAGGGATCGAGAGCAAACGAGACGAGGGTTCGAGCGCTCTTTGTTCGCATCGGATCCGAACGCGAATTGCTCGCACGTGTAAACCGTTGGGTTACGCGAGAAACGTCGGTTGGTGGACTATCTCGTCGCTTCGAGCGTTGGCGACGCGCCAATTTTCATCTTGTTACGATGTAACGCCGCGACGCGAAGGGAAAAGAAGAGAAGGAAATTTTTTTTCTAGGATAATCTGTCGATTATCGGCGGTCGAACAAAGGCGCAGGAAAGGACGGTTCCTCGATCGACGCACGAAAATAATGTATTTTACACGGAGGTGGGAGCGCGCGTGGGCATCGGCAGAAATATATGAACAATCCGGTGTACGATGTACCTGCGCTCCCGGGGAGACTACCTGCGGCTAATTTACAGCGAGCCGCGCGGATAACTTCCGTCGTTATTCTCCGCGCTTCTCCTTCCCCCTCCCCTCCCTTCTCCCTCTTCTTCCCCTTCTTCGAGTTTCTTCTTCGTAACGGGTATCGCGATTAGCCTGAAACACGAAGAGAATACAGGAGAGAATACTCGGTTGCGTTGGTTGCGTAGGTTGATCCGGATCTGCCGACCTTTCTCTCCCCTCCCCCAGCCCTACCTGTCGTTTCGGCCACGAGAGCTCAAGGGACACCTCGGCGACCACCTCGACGATCCGGAGGGCGAGCAAATAACGTGGATGGACGTAGCTGCCAATTCGCCGCGTCTCTCCTTGCGTGAAATTAGCGGCGATCCGATCGGTGAGTTTATAATTCGCGTGAAAACGGGGAAAGAAATTAATTTCGCACGCGTTTATATATATATTTGTGCTTTTAGATCGAAATGGACGAGACGGAAGCGAAGAGCGAGCCTGAACCCGATGTTAAATCCATCGAATGCGACGACGTATGCGAGCTCTCGATATCTTTCCCCCTCGATCGCGTTATTTCTATTCGATGTATACTTTTTCCATCTCGAAGGCGGGAAAAGTGCGTTTAAAGGTATCCGATATCTAACCAGCAGGAGGATGCACCGATCACGACCACGACGAAGAACGCGTTGATAACGACCCAGTTGGATCCTTGCGACGTTTACCCGCATCGCGTCAAGGTGTCGATCGTCGGAGTAGGGAAGATCGGGATCGCCTGCGCCATCGCGATCCTGATGAGAGTTAGTATCGGCGCGGATCGCGATGGCGCTCGATCAACCGTCTGATACCCCGTGATCTTTAGAGGATGGCGAGCGAGGTCTGCCTGATCGACCACGACGCGAACAAGGCTTCCGCCGAGGCCGAGGATATTCAACACGTCGGTTTTTTTTTGGGATGCCCACTGGTAACTGGCACGTCAGGTACTTCTACGTACACGTACACATAGTTATATATTTCTATTCCAATTTTCTTTCGAATACGCGTCCAAACTTCAAAATCCTCCATTTTAATTCCCTGGAAACGTGGAAATGGAAAATCGATAAATCCGTGACGGAAATTCCAGAAATCTTTGGATGTCGGGAGATGTTTCCGTGGACGTGCGGCGGGTCGGAAACAACGGTCCCCCTTGCCGAAAGGGGAAGGAATGAATTTTTGGGACCGGTAGAGGTTTCGAGATCCTTCTCTCTCCGGTCCTGTCCTTTAATCTCGTCGCTCATCTACATCGCCGCGTGCTTACACGCGGTCGTCTCACCGAGCGTTTCCCCGAGCTTTTCACCGCTCCACTCGTAAATTTCGTGCCGCTCTCTTATTTATCTCGACCACGATCTACATATTTTTCTCTTTCTTCTTCTTCTTCTTTCTCCCCTTCTTCTTTCGCACGGAACGTAAGAATCCTTACGTATCTTGCAAACTTTCTTCGATCTCGAAAAATCGAACGCGTTCCTTTCGTAATCTTCCTCGTTCGAAGATCGCTGATTCGGTCGTTCAATCTCGTCCGCAATTGGTGAGTGGCTACTAACAACACTAGAACAGGTTGTTTTTACCGACTAATTTATCTCTTACGGTGTATCTCGCTCGCGGTACACTCTCGAGCAGAGAGGTGTTACCTAAAATCGGTGCCTCTTATTTTCTTCTTCACGTTACGTCCCTTATCGGCGCATCTCTCAACCGACAAACGACAAAAAAGTCTCTCTCTTACTTGGAAAGGGGACGAGATTCGATTCCCTTTCGTAACGTTTTGTATTCAACCAGCTTCCGATGGCTTTATTACCGAACGAGAAAAGATTTCCAGAAAGGGATGCCCGACTTCTCTAACCTTTCCTTTCTTTCTCCTATCTCTAAGGTTGGGATGGAACGTGATTCGCATAAACATTCGTACGAGATTTCTTCTCCGTCGAATTACATGGATTCTCGATAAAAACGTTCGTAATTCTTATCGATATTCCACGTTTCCACGGACAATCCAGTTTTTTCTTAATTCTTTACCAGCAATCTTATTATTAATATCGAGTTTGCAAATTTTTATTGGTTGGATTTTTGGTAGCGAGGTCGAAATCGAAATAGGAGAAATCTGTCGTTTATTTATTAAAAAGACGAGTATTTATTAAAAATCGGCAGAGATCAGTACGGTGAAGGAATCGGCCGTGGTGATAATTTGCACGCCGGAGACGCAGCCGGGCGAGAACCAAAACGTGAAGCACAACTTGAAGGTGTTCAAGAAGATAATACCGGCCATAGCGAGATTCGCGGCCAAATCGGTTCTGTTGATCGTGACGCGGCCGGCCGACGTGATGTCCTACATCGCGTGGAAGTTGTCGGGATTCCCTTCGAACCGCGTGCTCGGCATCGGCACGCTGATCGACTGCGCCAGGCTTCAAGATTTCGTTAGCAGACGATTGAACGTTGCTCGAAGCTCGGTCAGTTGCATGACGATCGGCTCTCAAGGAGACATGGCTGGTATCCCTCTCTTCTCCCTCTTTTCACGTGGATTCGACGGATCGAATCGGTGCTACCCTCCCCTTTTGCAGTTCCTCTGTGGTCGAGCATCTCCGTGGGCGGAATGAAACTTCGGGACATAAACTCGAGAATAGGGGAACAGGACGATCCCGAGAAGTGGTACGAAATCGAGGAGAACGTGAAGAACGTGTGAGTGTGACCGTTATATAAGTCGGGGGAGGGGAAGATCGTGGAAGCTCATTTCGCGCTGCTTTCAGCGGGAAGGAACTCGAGGAGAAGAAAGGATCGTGTTGCTGGGGCGTCGCCATTTCAACGACGGAGATCGTCGATGCCATCGTAAGGAACACGAAAGTCGTGCTCCCCGCGTCAACGCACATTCTCGTAAGTGGAGACAGAAGGAGAGGAAACTCCCCCTCCTTCCTTCCTTCCTTCCTTCCTTCCTTTATCGTCCCCCCCGTTTTCCACAGAGTTGCGCCCACGGTACGGACAAGGACGTGTACATGTCCGTGCCCTGCGTGATCGGTCGCGAGGGTGTCTACTGCACCGTGCGACAAAAGTTAAGCGAGCAGGAGAAGGCCGCGGTGCAGACGTGCGCCGACAACATTCGAAACATTTTGCGGGAGTCCGGCATCCTTCAGGAGAACAACAACAACGAGACGGAGTAATGAGTAAGGAGGGAGGGAGGGAGAAAGGGAAGGCGCTAGCGGAAATTGCACGGCAATTTTAGAAGGCGTCTTGATCGATAACGAGCGCGCGCATCTGGCGACCGGTTCTTCTCTGTGTATATAGTCGATCGGTGTATAATAAATGACAGTAGAGGAATCGACTTCCTAGAAAACTAATCGCGTCCCCCGTCCCCCAACGATCGGCCGATC